GCTTTCACTTTCGAATTCGCGATCTTGGTGTCACGTTTTACAAGAAAAGATAATTGTCTGATTTGCTTACATCTATACACCTTTCACTTTTTAAGACTAAAACAAAAGATAGATTCATTGTTATTCTTAATTAAAAAGCATAACAACAATAAAACCGTAAAATACAATGACAAACTAGCTTACAAAACGTTTATTAACAAAAACAAATAAGACCAGGCATGGCATACACCACATGCTGTATTGTATACCGACTAATAAATTACGGAACGTTTAGCAAACACTGAGGAATCAAATAAATAAAAAAAGAGAGCCTCCATAGCATAACGTGAGGTAAACAGCAAAGATAACAAGCTTTTCAAAATGAAAACAAAAAGAAAGTAAAACTAAACTTGCTGTCTGTGACAGTGCTTGCATGTTTTTCCCCCCACAAGAATACCAATACGTTCACCTTTGGTTTAAGAAGTGGTCTTTTACTTTACTTTAGCATGAAACCCATCCATCGTTTCCTCAATATTCGCGTCATTTTTGCTGCGCGCAGCTTCGCGCTCCTGCTGCTGACGCGGCAAGTATAAACCAGGCTCTACACTCTAGCGGTGCGCAGTTCAAACGAGTAGCGCGGTTTCGTTATGCTTTCAGTTTCATTTGCCGTTTGATGTTTCTCATATGCAACAGAAATGGCAGCTCTTATGAGTTAATGCGGTGGTCGCTCCAGTGCGTCGACACACAAAATTTAATCGCACCGGCAGAAAAAATTATGGCAAAATGCGGCCATTTGGTCACACTCTGGAGCCCTGTGCTGGACAGTATTTATTTATCCTCAGTTGTTCAAATTGTGGTAATCGTCAGTTTACACAATCAGTTAGGGGGGAAAAAAAGCTTTGGTCTTCTCTCTGGAGGCCACAAGAGGGCGCATCGAACAAAATATTATGCACGTTTCTTCAAAGCATAATAAAATAACACGACTATCTTTGAAAAAAGTTTAAAATAATGTTTATAAACCTTATATAATTAAAGTTGCTTAAACAATTAGAAACAAAACAGAATCATGTTTAATACAAAGGACCGAAAAGCAATCACAAAGAGTACTTTCTTCATTTAAAAACTTGAGATGCAGTAGGATGGGGAAAAACTGCCATAAAGTCTTGAGACTTGTTTTTTAAAAGTTGAACTTACATTAATTTTACATGGCTTTCTAAACATGCCGCTCTCTTGTGCGAGATGCGAGTGAAACGGTGATAGACGTCCCTCTAGAAAATGTGATAAATATGCGTTCTGTGTGAACGGTTTGGTTTCGTTTTTGACGTAAACAACATCTCCGCATTGATGTTCTTTTTTCCCGCAATATTTTGAATGAACAACATAGCAGCGCCGCATCTAGTGGGTTCAACTGGATAGACTAACAAAAGCATTAAAATGCAATGACACTTACATCGTCATCGCAACTCGTGCGCCACTGATAAGCCTGACTGATGCACACCTAAAATTCGAATGCAACGTTTTTCCGTTCGAATGTGGATTTTTATTTTGAATTCGACGAATATTCGAAATTCAAAATTTTTTTTGACAGCCCTAGTGAGTACATTCTAAGCAAATTTGTATTTTTGGGTGAACTATTCTTTTAAGGCAACTTGTTGTTTTCGCTCTCGTAGTATTGTGTCCAGATGGCCGACAGTGAGGTTGTGATCGGCTCTGCTGAAAACCAGGAGGTGGCGCCATCGGATAAGAAATCTGGACGTGCCTCGCTGCTGGATAGCGGGGAAGACTTCACAATGCTGGATGATGTGGAAGACGACGTGGATGACGACCTCCCTCCTTTAGAAGATGCAGGTGGAGGAAAGAAGAAAGACAGTCCCGCTAAAGACGCTACAAAAGCAGATCAAACTCCTTCAATAGAACAGGAAGAGTGGCTGGATGTTTTAGGTACCCCTCTTTACCTCATCGTCATTGTGGCAGCAATAATTCATTAAATGATGGAGATTAACACTATAATGGACAAATATCCAGCACATTTTTTCATGTGTGTGGATGTTGCAGTGGTGGAGTAAAGTATGATGGTGATTTTTAGCTTGTTATGAAATATTTGCTGTTTGAAAATACAGGAAATGGGCAGCTTAGAAAGAAAGTTGTGGAAGCCGGAGCTGGTCCAGACAGCAGACCCCAGAGAGGCCAAAATGTCACAATTCATCTTAAAACCAGTCTTACTAATGGAACTGTGGTAGAAGAGCTGCCAAACCTATCTTTTACACTTGGTGATGGGGACGTTCTCCAGGTATATTATATTATAATTTGTAATTTCTTAAATTATTTTAATAATAATTTTATACAATTATTTTAATTTCATTATCTGCTATATTTTTTGAAGCATTACTTTTATTTATACTTTACATTTTCTTGTATTTTCAGGAACCTTAATTACATATTTTGTTGTTGCTATTATAATTAGGCGCTGGATCTTACTGTACAGCTGATGGAAATGGGCGAAAAGGCATTGATTGAAGCAGGCGCTAAATACGCATACGGTGCCCTTGGCAGGTTAGATTATTTATATATATATATATATACATATATATACAGTATCTCACAGAAGTGAGTACACCTCTCACATTTTTGTAAATATTTTATTATATCTTTTCGTGTGACAACACTGAAGAAATGACACTTTGCTACAATGTAAAGTAGTGAGTGTACAGCTTGTATAACAGTGTAAATTTGCTGTCCCCTCAAAATAACTCAACACACA